CGCTGCCCTGTTTTCGTTTCCGAGGGTGAAGGAACCATCTCCGGCGGGTCTCGCCGTGGAGACCGCCGCCTGGATGGGGGGGCTCCCTGGGAAATCTCCCTACCTCGAGGTTCCCTGTCATTGCTATGCCCCGGGCGGCCATTGGGCCTCTGCCTTACATACCGGGGATCCTCATTCTCATCGTTTTCCCTCGACTCCTGGAGTTCCAGTAAGCCTGGGGATGGCATAGCCATTCGGCCTTCCGCCGAGTGGGCGCGGGGTCGCCCAGCGCGCTCCTCGCGGGCTCGTTTCTCCCGCGCGCGTTCTTCCAAAAGACATCGGTAAGCACCCGGGCGTCCTGGTGGGGGAGATTGAAGGGAACTCCCTGACCCATTCGCTGTGGGAGGGCGGTGTCCCTCCCTTTCATCATGAATCACAAAGGCGGCATCGCCGCTTCCAATCACCATCAAGGGGGCCCTATCGCGAGCCACTGGAGCATCAAGAACAGGAATATCGTCCCCGCGCCATTCCGGGGTCCCCCTGCCATCAGAGGAAACTGGACTTCCGTCACGCGCCATTCCTTTGATCGCTCCTTACCTTCACTTTTCCTTACCGTTCGCACAGCACCCAGCGGAGTCCCGCCTCGGGAAACCGCCCTGCGCTCCGAAACCAAGCCTCGAACCACCGCAGAAATGGCGTCCCAACGGCGAATCTTCCAGCAATGAGCCGGTCACGCACGAATTGAGACGCTCGCCCGTCCGAGCTAAACTCGACGGCGAAGTGCACCCACAATGGGCGTCTGTCAGCGCGGCATGTTCTCCACTCAACGGGGTACAATCCCCGAAAGATACACACACACACAACAGCGAGGTGGGCCCAAGGTTCGCAGTTGTTCGTTACAAGAGAAGCCGTGTGTCTTTAAATACCCAAGCCGCTGGTGCGGCACCGTTACCCAGGGTTCCCTGAAAGGTCCCCTCAAATCCGTACAAGGTACGAATGTACCTTTTACCCAGGGTAAACTTCCCACGCTTCAAGGTACTGGACGCTCCGGTCTAAGTACTAATCTGCGTTACCCAGGGTATCCTTTCCCTCCGGAAGCCGCGGGGTGCGTTACCCGGGGTCCCTAACCCGTGGCTGCCTTACCCATGGTATCCTTACCCGTCCTAAGTCACCGGCTGCCTTACCCATGGTACCCTTACCCGTCCTAAGTCACCGGCTGCCTTACCCATGGTACCCTTACCCGTCCTAAGCTACGGGGATCGCCTTTGGCGCTCAGAATTCTACTACACTCGTCAATTACCCAAGGTATTCGGTCCGACTCTCCTTGCTGGGGCGCAGCTCGCGGTGTGACGCACTCTCCAGACTTCCCACCTCAGATCCAAGGTCGAGCCCGCTCTCCTCGGGGGTCAGCTCGTCCTCCTGGCACTTGGCAGCAGCTTGTACAGGCGGCACGTCATCATTTCTCCAGCATAGGTTCATGGATCCGTCTTCCGTCCTCAGGGCCTCCGGTTCAAGGGTGCTGGGCAACACTTTTCTTCATGGGACACTCTTGCATGGCAGCTCGCATCCGGGATACGGTTGCTTCATCGTCGTATGGGCAGGACACCACCTACAGCCTTCACAATTACTGCAGAACATGCATAGACTTTCCTATAATTCAGTTAGCATACCGCAATTAGTCCCCAAGGTACCTGGTTCAGGCGGGGTACTCAGAAAATCGCCACATGGGGCGCAGTAGTCTGCGCAGTAGTGAGGAGCCCTGCGGTACGGAATTAATTTCTATATCCGCCGGGCTAATAACATATATTGAATATATAACAATATTCAATCCATATTCGCTCTTGCAAGAGCGCACGCTCAATTTTCTCTTAATTTACGCATTTCTCGAAAGAGCTCACTCACCGAGCACAATCAATCGAGGCCATCGACGACAGAGTTAGAGGGCCGCAGCTGCGCCGAGACTCCCCGGGAGGAATCTGCCTGCCGCGCATCACCAAAACATCAGCGCTCCGCCGACCAGCCCTACCGGCCGCGGCGACGAAGACAATTTTCTGCCCGTTTAAATGCCCGTTTGAGCGAGACGCCAACAGCCGAGGCGGTGCTTGGAGACGCGCCGGCCCTCGCGCTCAGCGGGGCGTCGGACGAAAACGACGGGCTTCGAAAGCCCGTGGCTAATCTTGGCGCGCAAGCGCTTGGATCTTTCTCCTTTCCTGACCCACGGGAACAACGAACTCCGCGAAGGGCGACGCGAGTGCAGTGCAGCGCAGTGGCGGCTTGGCTGGACGGACAGCGGAGCCCGTGTGTCTCGGGTATCGGGTCTCTGAGAGCCTCGGGTCCTTCTCGGCTCTCTCACCCAAGACACGAAAACCGCACGGCCGGCAACTCACCCCAACGCGCTGGGCCGCTGGCCGCCAGGGGGGCGCTCCCAGCCGCTCGGAGTCTCTCCCTGTGCCTCGCTCTTTCCCTCCATCCCAAGCGACGCTGGACGCCGTCCAAATCCCTCCCTCTCCCCACCCCACATCTCCCCCCGCGATCGCGTCGGAGCGTCCAGCTTGGTGTGGACTTCGAGGGAGGGGGGCTGGCGCTGGGGACAGGACTGGCGATAATATGGGGAGTAGGGGTTTTGTAGGCCCGTGTGCCCGACCAGCCGGTTAGTAACCATCCGGGCAAGTGGACGCGCCAGCCGGGGTCGGGCTCCCGCGAGAAGTAGGTGTGTACATATGTACGCACGTTCTGGACGTGGTGCACCCTAAAGTACGTGCGGGCTGTCTAGGAGGCGCCCGCCGGGGAACGTGCCCATGCGCAACGGTCGAGGAGCCTTGAAGGACCGCGTGGAAGGGACGGTCACGGGGCTGAGGTGCCCAACCGGCGCTGGAGGCAGAAAAGACCCGAAACAATGCTGCGAACTGATTGCTTATTAGTGCAGGTGCAGGCGCAGTGCAGGCGCTACACTTCAATCTGGGAGTTGAGTATTTCTGATGCATCTCATTGGCACGGGATTTTGCCATCGACAAGACCCAGCTAGAGATGCAAAAGTCTCCCTGTGAACGTTTGAGGTGCATCCACAACTGTCCCCCCAAAATTTGTGTCCTATGGGTGCACAATGCCCCATGGTGAGGTGCCCGCTGATGCGATAGTCATAGACATTTTTGTTTATGAGAATGGCTGGAGCGAGTGAGGATTCGCACACAAATAAGACTGTTTTAGGACTTCTTTTTTTGAGCTGTTGTCGGCAACCAGAGCACTAACGGAAGACACTATGTCGATTTTGGTATGCTTAGACTCAATTCGACATTAAGCTTCCCCTTCCCCCTCCTTAGCGTCAGTCCTTACGTCAACGCCAGGATGATTCACCAACATTACCTAACAGTTATATACAGTTTCTAGGTGATTTGGAGCAGGAAAGTGGTCAGAGTTGCATTGATTTCAAAAAAATGAAAATTGGATTTTGACGTTATGACAGGTACGGCTGGCCGCCCCAATGGCTGCAAATTGATGCGTGTAATCATCATCAAAATCTGTCGATTACATTCGCCATGAAATGGCAAAACACATCCCTTGCACCTGGTAGGCGACGGTGGAAGTGAGAACCAAACGAAGTGTTAATGCGTGTAATACTTTCCTTGAAGATTGAACACTTGAGGGAGGTTTAGCAACAAGTCGCGAGTCGTATGCAGCTGATCCGTGGCGTTCTTGGAAATCTTTCCCTCCCTATGTCGATTGTGTAACAATTACATAATTTCTTAGTGCCCCCCCCCCACCCCCCCCCGCCGCGTCAAATTGACGCTAAGCGTACCGAAATCGACAAAGTGCCCTCCCTTGCCCTGGAACAGTTGTAGAAGACATTGCACATGTACCAGGAGATTTTCTTGGGGGCGCACGATTTAGCATATTGTCAGGAACCAGGCAGGGTGATACCAAGTGGGACTATTGTCCCCCAATAGCCTCCTTGGCAGCACTGACTAGCAGCTGATACAACACCTGAATTGTCGAGCAGTTATGTGACCCGACAGCGGGATTCAGAGAGAAGTCCCTACAGTCTGCATTACAACACTCCGGGAGTTAACCGTTCTTCACAGAGGGTTTGCCACAATGGGCGCAAGCTGTCTGAAGCCGCAGCTGCAACGCTCCCCAACGTGCCTACGCACAAACCAATCCACTTGCGCAAAATTCGTCTGGCATTTCTAATCGCTGTTGCCATGGTCCCTGGTTCCTTGTGTTCAGAATTCGCTCCCCCCGCTTGCCGCCTCCACGTGTAAATCGTTGTCTCCGGCAGACAGGATGCCAGCGGACAGCGCTTCCACGCTCCCCAGCTCAGGTGGGAGGGAGCTCCCGCTGCTGGCAACCCCACGACCCACCGAGCTGCACGATGTCTCAGCCGGTGACCTACAGTCACCAATCAATTGTTGCACACCACACGCCACCAAGATCGCTGCACACGCGCCAGACGTTGTAGAGACATTGCCCACAAAACAATGCTCCCTTCGCCAGTAAAACACAGGCCAAAACACACGGTTTTGAAATCGCGTACCGTGTAGCACGATTGAAAATCGTGTAGAAATTTTCTTAAATCGTGTATTTGTCGTATAAAAATGGGACCAAACCGTGTAGTGACGATTGAGTAAGTGTTACATGATTCTTACAAGTTTTGACACTGTTTTACACGATTTTCATATGGTGGGAACCGTGAATTTTGTCAAAATTTTTACTTGTGATTGCACGATGACGTCTCGCCACCAACCTCTACGCGTTTACAGAGTCGCAGCACGGTTTGTGTACAGGGCGATGGTATGTGAGGGAACTGAAATGCCCTTTCAGCTGCTCCCCCTGGTTGCCCTTTATGAACACGGGCGAGTTCCCATGCGAACATTGGTTCAATATAATTGTGAGCGTTCTGCCCACATTTTCATTGACACGCTTGCTTATGAAGACGTGGTCTGGTGCGCGTCCCTCTGGTGTCACGTGCCCATTCGATACATGCATTTGGCAAATGCGGAATCACGGTGCAGTGCCATGCAAGCTCAGAAATACCTGTCCTCTGGCGCCTCAAAGCTGGGCTCCGAGACGCCTGTGGACCCGCGGCTGCTGATGCGGCTGTCAAACTCGCCGCTATTCTGATGCCGCAGGGCATCCTTTGCCAACGGCAGCAGCTCGACATCAGGCAGCGACGGCTTTGGACGCAGGTCTCGATCCTCCTGCTCTGTCTCCATCGGGGCTTCCTCGGGCTTATTGCCCATTGCTCCAGGATCAAAATGGCTGTCTGTCTCCTTTTCTGCGTCCTCTGACTGACATAGTACACCTCTGGCATCCCTACGTGTGATTTCAAACTGAGTCGTGTCTGCCGCTACACGCGATCCGTCTGAAGAAGGCGCTGCATCTGAAGGCGGGTCGCAGCCCACCTTGAAGTTCAGGAGGGCTGAGTCTGCGACGTCAAAATGCGGAATGTGCTGGCCGGCAGGGTTCTTTCCGTTTGCACCCGGAGCCAGACGAAGGTCACAATGCCCATGGCCGTCAGGTGATGTAGACGTCAGGCGTTGCGGCGCAGCAGCTTCACTGGAAAGCCCCTGGACAGGATCAGGCAGCGCGGCTTCAGAATTCCGAGACGCATTCTTCTCGCTGATGACATCAGGGTGTTGGAGGCGCTCTGCGCCGTGGGGGCCAGCTGCGGTGATAGTTTCTGTGGTTTCTTTGAGAGGGGGGAGGAGGCGCCTATATCCGGAAGTCGGTTGGTATCCTTCCTCCACGTGCACCGTCCCGGCCATCCGGTGCCTGATGGTGGACACCTCTTCAGCCCTTGAATGTAGCAGCACAGAATTTGGCAGCGAAGATCTCAAGCCACATTCGACACCGACGCTGTGGGCCTCCGCGTCGGCGGCCTCACTCCTTTCTTCGCCTGCGACTTTGGCAGACGAAGAAGTATCCGTTCTGTTGAGCAATGTCCCGTTGTTTGAGAGCTCTCGACGAATCACACTTGGGGAACCTCCTTCATGCTGTGACTGGCCGAGTGGGTGAGCGCGCTGCTCCACATTTGTGCGTTCTTCAACCCTCCCGTCCACTTCTCTCATTTCGGCGAAGGAATGTGCGTGTGATTCACAGGAATTTTTTATTTCTGGGCGTCTGTCAACGGCGCTCTCAACCCCAGCATCTGTCCCCAGACTCTTCTCTCGATTTGGGCCCCCGGAGCCCCATGTATGGCTTTGCAAGCCTTCGCGTGCGGACGCCCCATGCTTGCGCACGCAGAAGCCCTCTCGGCCCCCATCAGGGGCGTCGTGTGTGGGACGATCGCTGGGCATCATCTGGAGCGACGGCGCCGCAGCCACGTCATTTGCTGTGTAGCCCCTGGCGTTGTGCGCACGGCAGGACGGGCCCTCAGTCGCATCCCTGGTGGAACGCACAATGGCATCGTCGTCGATTTCATCTTTCGCTTGTGCAGGGTCATGATGGTGCTCCTCCGCATCAACTCCATCGAGGCACCTTCCGCGCGAGACTGCGCGTCGAATTGCTTCCGTCAGGGATGGCCCCGTGCAGTGGCTGTGGCCGCCTGCTGGCCAATGCACGCAAGCCACCAGTGGCGAGGTCGCAGTTAGCACCGAGCTTGGTGACGACGGCGTCTCTGTGTCAGAGAAAATGTCGACGCGGTCGCCGCCCAAATTGTCAGCCCGGCGATCTGCAGGAGCGCACAGAATTGGGTGCTGAAGAAGACAACAGCAAAAGAGGCACACAAAGCGGTTGGCACCTGGAATCTTGAATGTGAAGCAATCCATCATATGGTTTGTGTGCAAGCAGTTAACTCCAGACCAATGCCCTGGTTTAGGGTGAGCACTCCAATCCTCGGGACAACGACATGTCCATTCTGTGAACCTGACCAGCACTAGAATTGAAATGAAGCTGGTTCGGATTAGTCTGAATTGGAGGTATCAAACAGACCGCTGCTGTTGAGTCTGAGTTGTCCTCAACGTTCAAACCTTGGCTGCGTACGTCCTCAAGCCCCCATGATTGTACGTGGAAGGTGAAGTGCGAGGCAAATATGCGATGGTGTGGGGATGGTGGCATCGGTGGCTCAAGGGAGGAAATGGTGGAATACAGGAGAGCTAAATGTATGAATATATATCAAAATTTTCTTGTTTAATGTTAAACATTAGCCATGAAATCGACAACAAACACTGCAGATATCTACAATAATGAAAACACTAATCATAGCGATAGCAGCACTTCAGACGCAGCACTGACATGAAAGACAACAGCACAAGAGCCCCACCTGCCCTCCTCCTGCATCGCTCTGCCCTCCTTTTGAGCTTCGATATGTCGCGTCCGGATGCCCGTCGGCCAGCCTCCACCCGCCTTTTGAACTCCCTCAGCTGCAGCGCCAGGCTCTCTTCCTCACGGTTGAGTTGGTCCATCCGGTGCGGCAAAAGTTCTGAGAAGCTGCTGCTGTGTCGCATACCCCGCCCGGATGACACGAAATGCTCGCCGCGTCTTGTTGGGCATTGCAGAGGGTGGATTGGCGGCGCAGCGGCGAAGGGCCTGTCCAAGGTGTGCAACTCGCGAGGGAGGTGGGGCTGCGCAGCAGCCCTGCTGGGCGCAGCTGCCGGCGTTGCCTCGGACCTGTTGCCTGATGGTCAAGCAAGCAGGCAAGCGGCTGCCCTTCACAAAGTTCCCGAACGGTTGTGGATGTTATTCTAGCAAAATGCTTGCAGTCCGCCATAATATCCGTGGAATCATATTGTACAACAATCCGCTGTCATGGTAGCAATGAATTTTCCAGAGTTAATTTGCGGCCTGGAGTTTTTGCACCAAATCTTGTATTTTGACTGTGATTCGTAGCCAAATTACTCCCGGAATGTTTAGCTGTATGCACCAGTATGATAGCGATGTGTGTTGGAACACGGCTACTACAGCAACGCACCAGCCATGTTCAGCTATTCTTCGGTTTTGAGTTAAAACAGCCATACTCATGCATCGCAGCACTGCTATAAAGTGCTATGGAGCACCTGCCGCTTGCAAATGACAGGTGCCTTCTGGCCAAAACTAAGGCCTCTTGAATGCTGCATCTAGCAACAAACCTGACCGGAGAGTTCATGAGAGAAGATGTAGCTTGATGAGGCACACGAGTGATGTTGTGCAACAAATGGAATATATGCGACATTCCCAAATTTCAGCAATGTGGCCAGGGGCATTCTGTCACATGCACAGGACAAGGACTGTGATGACTTCCAACACTGGTAACGACTGGTCCTGACAGACAATCGTGGTGTACCCTCAGCACTCCAAAATAAAGTATCGTTCTCACAATTTCTCCAGTAAGGTGCAATAGGAGAGCACCTCTATTTTGACATCCTGTGCCACTTCATAATGACCCACCCAAGAATTTTTGTCTTAAGGCAGCGGAGGAAGATGACAAGTTTACCTTTTCTGCCACAATGGCGGTGTCGAGACAACAACACGTTCCACATGCTTTGAAATTGCGTTTGGAGTTGGGCAAAATTGGCAAAAACATTGCTTCAAATGCTGTTATCACGTCACAACGGGGCCAATTCGAACATTGCATGAAATCCAAACAATAAAATTAAGCAACAATATTTGAATTCCAATACTGCACTTCCGCATACTTTTGATGCCACCAGTGAGTTGGGCGTAGAACAGTTTACCTGCCACAGATGCTGCGCTCCTTGACGCCGAGTGCCTCAAGATGCTCAGCTCCTGACACGCCCTCTCAAGCCTGACCCTGGTTTCGGACATCTCGCGTTCTGCCTGGCATAGCTTAAACCCCAGCTCCTCCACACGACCCACTGCGTTTTCTCTAGCCTCGATGGCCTGCTCGGCAGCACATGCACAGATGGTTGTTTGGTGGTGGAGTCAACCCAATGATGATATATTCCTTCCAGTGCATGAAATACATCCCTTCGCACACACACACCATATGGATGGCTATCAGCTGGTACCGACAGGTCCCCAGATGTATGGATGATTCATCAGATCAGGTTATGTGATCATCCGTGGATCCGGCTGTCTGATCCAATAGATCAGACAGTCGGATCTGCGCCTTGTAGAGGGTGCTGCCGATGGGATCAGTGTGGACCCCGTAGGATGTGCATGCATCCAGAGACGAACCATGCAACAGCTTGGGACACATCTGGACGTCAGGTCCCATTGTCAAGGCGATCAGTGGCCAGTGATGCGGCGACACTTCAAAAGCAACGCCACAGACAGTCTCTGAAACTGCGCATGCAGCATGATCTGTGGTGAATCCTCATTATGGTCACACGCACCAAATGAGATTCAAAAGTGTCCCTTTGCTTATTGCACGATGGCACCCATAGTTAGCCCAATACAAGACACAATGCGATATTATTACAGAGTGAGAAAGAATATTAGCTCGAAAGTAACTTTCCGATGACACTATGAGATTAAAAAATCTGCACAGCATTTAACACATTAAAATGCTGCAAATTCACATTTTGGCAGCTCTTCCATCTGGCATTGGTTACAATCTCCAATTAGACATAATTCTGTCAACTTTGTCTTTGATAACGATCACTGTACAATGTTAAACCCTTCCGCATAATAACGTAACGCTTTGTCTTCTTTTGGGAGAAAGTATTATACATAGTAGCGCAAATGATAACCTTTCTGTGCGGGGCAACGTAAAAATAGAAATGACGCTCTGAAAAGCAGAATGCGGAGCAAAAAGCGTAATGGTGAAATTTTCTGATGCGGAAGGGTTGAATATTTTACAGTACTTCATGAGCCATCCATATGCATTGGTGGGTGCATTGCTGGCATATTTCTGGCATATTTCTGGCATATTTCTGGCATATTTAGTTCTTTAAAGCACATATTAAATATCCAACAAACATTGACATTTGTTGAATTTCTTGCTTCTTTTCCCATTTTCACGAATGTGTTGATATGTTCTTGTATCAAGAGACAAGCTGTCTCGGTTGCGAGGCTCCAGCAATATGCATTACCAGCCCAGAAGTCGGGCCTTCGGCCCCAACGTTCTGCACTTTTTCGTTCCTATGCTATCTATTCAAACCCACTGATTCGCTGGCCAGGCTGGGCTGCGCTGTTGCGTTGTTCATGTTTTCCATTCCCTGTCGAATTGCTCATCACATTCTTTGCTATGTCCTTTGCCACTGTCGCTGTGCCGAGGGCTGCACAGCACCGCCGCGTGAGTCTACTCCCGCTATGCTGCACGAGGAGTCGTTGTCGGGGGCTGCAACTTCGACCATTGAGTTTTGGGACGCGAACCATCGCCGCTGCGGCCATCGGCCCTGGCCGCCGCAATGATGCGGCATCGCATTGGAAGATGGGCGTCGAGCGTAAGCGGGCATTGAGCATCGCAGCCACGACAGCAGTAGCCGCGCCCCTCCCGTCGGCCACCCTTCAGCGTACCTCGAAAATTCCACGGAGCCGCCCGCCATCCTACCGCTTTCAGCGATTGAATTCTCCACCATCGCCAGCATGCATCGCTGGATTGTTGGCCTTGCCTTTCCCAAGGAATCCCCCCTTGGATGGGGTACTTTCTACACCCTTCCCGATTGCGGCATTCCCGCCCAACTTCGACCGTTGAGTTTTGGGACCCGAGCCATCGCCGCTGCCGCCATCTGCGCTGGCGATGGCCGTCAACGCCAGCGCGACGACGGCGACTCGTGTCCCACTATCGCAACGCACAACTCCGCACCTCGAGAGCTGGCACTGGCTTCGGCGAGGCCTCTACCGGGATCGCCCACCACCATCGCCGTAGCTTGCCATCGCCACAGGCGTGATTCGCAAGCCATCGCCGCAGCCGCATGGCCCTCAATCGACCCAAGAGCGCTTTCGACACTCGTGGCGCGTGATTGACACACACCGCGCGCTGTGATTGTGATGGCGGAGGCCCATGCCCCACCCCGTGCTCGCGCTCAAGCGCGCAACCCGACCCGGGTGGGAACCCCACACCCGCGCTCCGCTTTCCAAACTGTACTCCGGGGCCCGGGGGCCCGAACGCTTGGCCTTGAGGGGCGCGCTGATTGCATCTGGTGCCGCGGTCGCTGCGCCGATGCCTGCCACAGCAGAGCGCTGAAAGGCCCTGGAGTACCTCCGCGGCCCGACTGGAGCCTTCGCGGGAACGGTAACGCTGAGCCGCGCGTTTGGGCGCGGGCCATCGCCGTTGTGACGATCGGCTCCGGCGATGGTCTCCATTGCCGCCGCTACGACGCGGAATCGCGACAGGAAACGTGCGCATCGAGCGCAAGCGCGCACGGCGTGCCACAGCCACGGCACCGCTAGCCGCGCGCCTGCCGTCGGTCGCCCTCGAGCGCAGCCACCAGCGCCACCCAGGAACGCATATGCCCACAGCATCCGACTCGGATAGCCCCGCCACTCACGTAACCCCCACGTCACAGGGGTCGATTCTTACAGAAGAACGCTGAGTCAGACTTTAAAAAATTCATTTCCGGGGCGAAAATTCATTTCCGGGGCGCTCTTAGCCGCGTTGTTAGCTTAAAATATTAGACCAATGCATTCCCAGTGCAATTAACAGACAACTGGTCAGATAGGGTCCATTGCAAACAAGAACCGTGCTGCTGCCAATCATCACCACATCCTACAAATGATACCAACAGGCATGCATTTGAGCTCCTGTGATATGCTGCTTAGGCATGAGCTGTTTGCATTGCTTGCCTGTTGCAATATTGGTATACTTATTTAGTTATGCATTTGATTCAAAAGATTCGCTTATTTTAAATAAATTTAAGTAATTTTCATGCATGTATCGATTATGTGAAGTATGATTGTCATATGCTGTCAGCTGAGCAATCACCTCGTCCAGGAGTGCCTCTGTTTCTTCTGCACGACCCTTCCAGTAACCCTCTCTGTCTTGCGATGCGTCGAGTTCATCAATGAGGCGACTTTTTGTCCTGTCAAGCCTCTTTATGGCAGATTTCGACTTCACGATCACTGCCTTGTACTGCCCAATCTCCAGCAACAGGCTCTGGAGATGAGAGTCTCCCCCATGCAGAGCACCAGAAGCGCTATCTGATCGCAATAATGGCAGCCAGTGGCAGCTCGTCAGCGATGCATATGCCCTGCCCATGTGCATTGCAGGCACCATGAGTGTCGCTCCGGCTGTCTCAGCTTCGCTGATAGAGTTTTCATGGATGGCAGCTTGTACCAGTTTGGTGGGGGCCAGGGTCACAAACATGCCAGATGCAGAAGCCCCTGCCTGGCAGCAGTGCGTGCAAACCAATGATGATTTTTGCTGCTATGTTAGGGCACCGGCAAGGCCAATGCATCCTGTCTCTTGGCCACAATAGCAGCCTTTGCTCCTGGAATTGATACACCGCCTACCCACAGGCATTGCCAAATGGCAAAGTGACGTAAGCCTTGTGCAGGAGGTGGACGCCCACTGCATGTTGCCCCTTGTTCGTGTGAACAATTATCAGATCTGATGCACCATCGAGTTCGAGCTGCGGGTTGGGTATTTATTCCCCAAACATTGCATCACATCAAGTGTCCAGGTGCTGCCCCCGCCCTAGTGAATAGATGGGCAAGCCAATAGCACAGGCCAAGGAGATCATGACAGCAACCCATCCACCCCACCGTGCGGTGGCACTTGTGGCCTCCGGCCAGGGCACTGCCTCGTGATGGCCCCAACTGCCACAGCCAGGTCGCAACGCAGGCGGGACACCTCTGCCTGCAGCCCCTCCACCTGTTTGGCAAAGCCCGCCTCGCGGCTTGCGTGGGCAGCTGCCTTGACCCGTTCCTCTGAGAGCATAGCCTGCGCCTTAGCCAGCTGGTCCTGGCAGGTAGCCAGCTGTGCCTTTTCGTGGGAGGCCTGGCGCTGCAGCTGCAGACGAGCTTCCTGCAGAAGCAGTTGTGGGAGGCAAGTTTGGCCATGCCCGGGGGGGGTAGGTGGTGGGGGGGGATGGGGCATTGCAGCATCTGAGAGGTCCCTATGGTCATACGGCGCCCCCTGAATGCATGTCTCATTGTGTGCGCTACTTAAGGTAGTTCGCTTCTTCTCTGCTCAGTGACTTTCCTGTTGGAGACTTCCGCGACATCTTTCTCAGCATTTAAGAAGAGTCCCATACACCTTTGGGGTGAGAAAATTTTGTCTTGTTGCATGTCACGTTTTCATTCAGCTCCAAGAACCTTGCACTGCACAATATCCCATAGCCTTTCGTCTTCAGTGACTGTTTTGCTCCTGTCTTCTTTAATGGACAATTCCAGTGCTTACAATCGCCAAAACACGACAAGCGCTTTCGGTTTCTGCATAACGAGGTGTTTCTTGGCATTCGCTACCTGGGAATCTGTGCATTTTGTGTGCTCTTACCACAAGGGGGTGTTCCCCCATACGTTGTCGTTTAACGCTGCCAGAAAAACCGATGCTGTCTGTGACGATCTGGACTCGGTGGAGAGAAGTGCCATGAACAGTTTGTCATTTTGCACATTGATGCAGTGCATACTCACAAAGCTGTCAAGCCACAAACAGATTTGTGATGGCCGCAGTACACCTCCTCTGTCCCATATTAATTGTCGACCATGACCTTGGCACAATATTTATCCATCATAATGGCTTCTGTCAAGCGAAACTTCGTGCAAAATTTACATCCAAGAGTTTGAAGTATGACATCAAAATCAAGTCTAAGTACTGTGGATTTGGCAGCGTTTTGTAGCAAGGGCCCTCTAACTAGTCAACCTCGAACTATTCGCTCAAAACCGACCAAATTTACTTGTCTCCGAGCCCTCAAGGAGTGGGGGCTCACTTTTTCTTCTTGAAAATTGGTAGTTAAGGGTTTTGGGACCCAATCTTTCCGATTCTGGACTCCTTTTGTCAATCAGATGCCATTCTTGTAACGAGATTTCTCATTCAAATAGATGGCAATCAATATTGAACAAAGGAAGCAATAGGGTACTATGACAATGCCACAAAATGGACACATAATGTGATTGCACAAACATAACGATAGGTGTGACGTAAACACTTAGTGTGGATAACATGCCTCAGTATGAGCTTGTGCTCACACAAGGTCTAGTGGCATAGCTACTATGTTTTGCTTGCACTGACAAATCATTTCTCCGTCCTATGTTTTGCTTCTTTCAGCACTGTAGAGGTTCAGAACCAAATCCAGCAGACATCAGTACCTCGATGTACGCTGGCATACAAATTCGAGGCTGTCGCTTGTTCTTTTGTTGATTTTTGTTCCCCTGCTCTCCTGTGCATTAGATGTAAAGGGCTAAATGCAGCAACAACAATACCTCGATCTGCAGCCTGTCGGCAGCAACCTGGGACTGCTGCTGGGCAAGTTCCTTTTCCACCTGGCATCGGGCTTCCAGCCGGCTTCTTCGAGCAGCTCTGCCAGATTCTGTCAGCTGCTGCTGCAGATCCCACTCCTGTGACCTAAGACGCCGCTCACGGTCCAGGACTTGCTGCTCATGATCACGTATGGCCGTCTGCAACAAATGCACTGGTCAGCACACAGGAAATCTGGATCCTCCCTCTGTCTTCTTGGCACCTAGTCTACACTGACCCAAAATGCAGCAACCAGAGTACACAAAGTTCCCCCAAAATATAGGGAGTACTGCATTCGAGGAATGCTTTGTCTTTGTGTATAGCATGTGCATTTCACACACAAGGCTAGTGGGGTCAAAGGTCTGCCAGAGCACATCGTTTATCTCGTATCCCTCAGGCAAACACCTGTCATACTTATTCTGTCCAAAGTTAACATTTGTCAAAAATACTAGCATCAGAAGTTGTCCGAGGCTACCTCAAGAAATTAACATTGACATTTGGACACACATCGATTGCTTGTGGGGACATATGCACATTTCAATTGTAGCAGTGTCTGTCAACATTATGCCTGTGAGCAGCACTTGACATCGTCAACTGGGCGAAGGGCAGCGATTGGTCCTGCAGTCAGGGTCCCGCAGTACATTGTTGCAGCATCCTGTCACAGGGCGGTTCTGTGGCAGGGAGGTAAAGGGGGTGCTGTTACAAGGGGGTGCTGCTGCATTTGACAAAGGGCGATGGACAGAATGGTTGCCTAACCGAAATGAATCAAATATGAGCCATAAGAAATCGTGGATCATTGCTGCACAGTAATCAGCACTGATGTAGTCTCTAGCGAAATGTAGATACTGATATAGTAAACTGCATAGCCTCACCTGCCTGGCTTGGAGCTCCTGTTCAAACTCCTCCCGCCTTTTCCTGATGTTCTCCTCCTCCACTGCGATCTTCTGCCGATGCCCCTGTGCGACTCGCTCCAACTCGTGCCGCTGGTGTGCCAGGCGATCCGCAGCACACTGCTGCTCCCTGTCCATGACAGGCAGCGAAAGTGATGTGAAAACTCACTCATGAGTTCAAATGCTATGTAACAAGGCATTCAAAACCTCAGAGTACAGGTTTGAGTTCCGGGTACTTCAAAACGAGCACTCAAAGGCATGGCTCAGCCATGCTTCAAGTGAAAGGCCTTAAATACTGTGCTGAGTGGCCAGTTCGTTTGAGTTCTTGGCCAAAATGTGGCAAACAATGCCCTCCCTCCCACAAGGCAACAGCTGGCAGGCATGTTGTCATCCGTATCCTTTGTTCGAGTTTGTCCAGTTTTCACACTCCAAAATCTGAACTATACCAACAAAGCAAAAGACAGATCAAACTACACAGCTCAGATAATCGGTTGTGCCCTCCTGATATAGAGGGCTCACACACAATGAAATGTATGCATACAAGTTGAGGGGATCTGAGCCATGGGACTGGCTCTGGTTCATGCTTGCAGGTCCCCATTTTGGGCATGAACACTACAAATTTCCGCAGTTACCGTACATGCAGAGGGGAGAGGAAATCACTGTGTTGCAACACTGACAAGAACAGCCAAACATGTCCAGCAAGGAATTGTTATCTGACAAACAGCAACAAGAAAATGTGCAGACAAGCATCTGCGCAGTGAACTCTTCAAAGACTCCACAAACCTGACGTCAGCGGTGCGGGAGCTGTGCAGCCGATCCGTGCCATCACGCTGGGCCCCGAGGTCTGTGGGGCATGCTTCACGTTGGGACACCTCAATAGCTTCATTGCCATCGTTTGCAAACTCCCCAGATACTGCCTGCATTGGCAAGTGCAGTTATTCGTGAAACAGCTACAATATAACGATGATTGACACACACAAATCCTGTTGACAGAGAATTGAATGTTCTCCATACTAGATTTGGGGTGAGTTCCAGCACTGTCTATGCTGAAGCCAATCTGTACCTAAAATGTTGTGCCAATAATGCTAGAACAAAGAACAATGTTATGTCATGATGAGTCATTAAAAACCTGTCTACCTTCCCTTGTGTTATTTCACTTGTGCTTATTCTGTTGTACAGCATGTTGCGCACAATGAAAGAAGCACAAGTACTGTGAACGGAAGAGAGTTGAACACAAAGGGCTTTTGGTGCACTGTCAAGTGCTGCACGGAACAATGTCATGTGGAGCAAATGAACACTTGCGGGATGCAGTCATGCAAGTCATCGCCTGCAATGTGAAATGACATGGATTTCTCAGGCGATGATGTAATTCTGAAATCCCACAAAATCAGCAATTTCAGCTGTCCTGGTGCAATCGCACTCCATTGCCCGCTTTCGAACGCCCACTAGGTCTGCCAACCTGTCTCATCGATGCCGTTAGATCTCCACCAGCGCGATCTTTGGCAGGACCCTCCCCATGTGGCAGCTTGCCAGGCAGATACAAAGGTGGGTTTGCACCCTGGGTGTGCAGTGTTTTCTGTGCTTCCGGGTTTTGGATGCACAGGGTCTGCAATGCACCCAGGGCATCAGCCAAGAAGCTCGAGCGCGTCCCATCTGCGAGGTTTCAAAGGGGAATGGTCGATGTTGGCAGTGACTGTAAGGGCGAATGCACCTGACCGCTGCAAGATAGTCAAGCTGCTTTGGAATGAACTGCTGAGACCCCTCTGCTGCCAATATTGTGTAATGAAGTGTGATATGGTGTAATGTGTATTGTGGCATGAAGGAAACGGTAAACTTAAAGGTCTACTGCTTCTGGGACATGGCTTGCAGTTGAGTTAGCAAACTGCTTCCAAGTTAAACTCAGTAAATGGTTGGGTAGGGACACTTTCTATTTAGAACATGGGGTGACAACAATAGCAGAATGATTTGGAGTGCAGGGTGCTCAAGAGCAAGGATATTGCCCTGATATTTGGTGCATAGGAATTGTGGAGAACTCGGAAATTGTGCGAACACGTAGATTTTTACTGCGAAGCCACAGTTGTCGCCTTCAATCGCACATGTTCACCACTGCATGGGCTTCCTTTGCATCATGCAGGTGCAAGAGCATTGGCCTGTGCTTGCCTTTTGCGAGCGCAATCGCTCCTTTCTGGCACACTCTGTGTGGTCTGTAAAGTCTTACATTTCGGATTATGGCAAATAGACACTGTCTCTGAGTTCCGTAGGGTGTTTCAATTGTCCACCATCTTGCTGTGTGCTACGGGGTTCAATTTCCTTCCCTGTGTTGCATGCTGTTCCTGTTATACTGACAAAGTTGAGAGGCAGGAAATGTTGTACGCAAATTTATTATCTTGATACAATGGCATATTAACATATTACTATGTTGACATATTTATATGGATGGGTCACTGATCCTCTGCATGACCATGTGTTACTCCAGGCGGTATTAGAAGAACACTGGTTCAGGTCAATTCCTTTTCACTTCAAAGTGCTCATTAGGTTTAAGAATATAACTCTACAGCTTTTCTTGTTGCACTTGGAGACTTCTGTACCATCTTCTGTATGGTGGCAAGAGCATCACAAAAGTTCCTGCAACAGTGGGGGGACTGCCCATTGCATGGCATATATTTGTGCCTTGGTGAAAAGCTGATCTTCGCACCATGCTGCTTGACCTTAAACGCTCCCATCACCACCCTCCAGACGGCGCTGCCTTCAGGAACGCCAAAAATCTGCAGCAGCTCCGGCCACGAAAATGACAGTCCCTGCTCCCCAGCCCCGCTCTCTGGCTGAAACACAGACAGTGTGTAGTGGCACTGGGCAGACCAAAGGTACTCTGCAACAATGCAGTTCAGTGCCCTCTCCTTCAAGGTCGTCTGTGTTTTCCCGCCGTTGCGTGAGATGCCCCCAGCTTTTTGCTTCTGGAGGTGCACCAGGAGCTGTGACCGCAGCTGAGTCTGCGCAGAGGGACAAAAGGGGGTCAGCGTGCCAAGTGGCTCCCAGATTAGCACCTTCGATGCAGGCAGCGCTTGCAAGGATTCTGCGCGTTCGGCACAACAGCCCACCAGAGCACCACATGTACTGGACTCGTGCTTGAATGTTGACTGCTCTGAACACTGTTGTTTGGTGTGAAAGTACTGTACATTGAATATGGTGTGCAGTGGAAAAGCATGATTTGAACACAGAATGCAATCTTTGTTTGTCTCATGCACTGCACCAGGAAACGTGGCGTCTGGGTGCTAAAAGGCCAAGTTGTTAAGTGTTGCAGTACGGTGCGTGGCGCCAGGGCAGGCCTCGCACGACCGCCGACCACCTGCCACAAGCAGCGCCGGACGGTCCTTTCGCTGGCGAAAAGGCTACAACCTCGGGCACTAAAACCATGCTCCCAGTTCCAGGCGCGGCCAGATCCAAAGGGCGAAACCCATCTGTATCTCCACCGTGCGATCCAAATTGGGGGGCCATCTTGGGGTCTCGATTCCTGCTCTTTTTCACGACTCTCTAGTCCAGGGCCCCCACCGTGCGTTTCCAGCTGAACATGCAGACAAATCTGCTCCATCCAATTCGCAGCGCAGCCCACACCATCCAGGCCCGACAGTGCGCGCCACCCGTCGCGCAGGCAATCAACGGTTCCCGCCTTCCCTCCCACACCACCAGGGCCCAACCCTGCGCATGCCGATCGCCCCCACCTTCAGCTGGTTCACCACGCCGGTGCTCTTCAGCTGCTCGTACAGCCGCTGGCGGAACTCGTTGGCTCCCATCCTCCGCGCGGGCCCCCGCACGGAAGCCGCGTCCGTCGGCAACCCGGAGCCCTGGATCAATCGACGAATCAGTCAACTCTGGAATCAGAAAATTTGCAGCTCGGGAAGCTACCTTTGCGCTGCGCAGTCTCGGAAGAAGGATGCGGGGACAAGGCCGCCCACCTCCCGCCCGTCCGCCAAACAACCCGCCGGACGTGGACGGGGAGGCGGCCGTCCGGCGTTGGACAGGTTGTCCTGTTCCGGAAACGATATCATAGGAAGAGGTGCGCAGCCGAGGCGTCTCTCCTGGCGTGTGTGTGGGGCACCCAGGTAGCAACCGCAAAGCCACGACCTGACGGAGCCTCAGTGAGCAGAGCCCTGGACAACTTGTCGCTTGTCACTGCCAGCTATTCCAAATGGCCGATAGGTAGTGAAAGAGAATGGCCAAAAAAAGCGCCCCCACACCCGAAAAAGAGCACAAAAAGGCGTTTTCTCGCCCTCCCCACTGGCTGTATGCATCTCAGCCCACAGCGAACTCCGCCGAGCCCCGCACTCTGTTTCGTGCCGGTTGGAGACGTCGCGAACCGCTCTGCGGCCCACCTCGCCCGGGGCGCCCGCAGCGAGACCCCGCGCCGGGATGCTGGCCCGCTGGAGGGCGGCCGGCCTCTGCGCCGCCGATCCCGCCCCCATCCTCTCCCTTGGGCCGATGTGCCTGGCCGGCCTGCGCCCCCTGTCCGGCTCCCACTCCGGCCCGCCCGACGATCAAGATCCAAGTGCCCCCGCTGGGGAGGGCGCGGATAATGATGCCCAACGAATCGATGAGCTCAACCACCTGATGGCATCCAGCGCAGCGCCCCACCTCGCCGGAAGCGCTGCACCGCCGGCTTCTGGCGATCCGGCGGTCGACTCATGGCGGACTTCATCAGAAGGGATCAATCTTCCCGGGCATGCGGCCCTGCCCGCAGGTGGGCATCCCCACGGGGACACTGTTCATGGCGGATCCCGTGCCAAGGCCAAGACGGGGCCCCCGCCCCGGCCCAGGCCGCCACCGAGCCCGCCGGGCGAGTCGATGGCGATGAGGGCGTTCCGGCTGCACAATTCCAGTTTATGGGGTCTGAAGGGTCAGGTGATCATGGGCAGAGTAGTGCAGGTCACGCATGATTCAGTGCTGGTGGATGTGGGGTTCAAGAGCTTCAGCCGGTTCTTCAAGCACGAGCTGAGCGGGTCGCAGGTGTTTGAGTCGGGCAGCCCCGGCCGCGCGCGCGGCAGGGACGATTTCTTCGTGGGGGACGTGCTCCAGGTGGGTGAGATTTTCTGCAAAGAGGGAAGGGAGATTTCCTACTTGTGGTGCTACGATGACATGACCATGTCACCGTCAGTGCTTTATCCGCATATGCATCCGTAATACATGACCTATCAGAATGTACAAGGGCCACGTCCAGGGCCGTCGTTGCAAAGAGGGAAAGACACAGGTCGTGCAAAGGGCACCCCCTCCCAACACAAAAGGCAAGAAAACATGCGGTCAGGGGCGTGCTCCTGGTCTGAGTTGGTGGGATGTGTCCGATGCCATTGACGGCAGTGTGCAGGGCTCCGTGTTGACGCTGCAGAGACATTGCTGGGCCTTTTTTTTTTGGCTAGCCACTTTGCTTGGGCTTTTGGGGTGCATAGGGTACATCAAATGCAAATGTCTCCGAGTTTGAGCGAGATGCAACGATTGCAGCCATGCAGTGGGGAACCAAAGGGATGCCCAAAGCACCGCAGTTGCACTCACGATGGAACGATAGGCATTGTTAGCATGTGTTGCAGTTGTTGTTGTTAGCATTGTGTGCATCCTTAGGATGTGTTGTGGGTAGCATCTGTTCATTTGCCCAGCAGGTTAAGTCGAATACATTTTGATTGCAGTCGTCACAACTTGTCAAAGCACTCCTCTTGCACCTGCGATGCAGCCATGGGCATATTGGCTCATTCTGTAGGACTTGTTCGTTTGCTCCGCAGGTGTGTTTAATTTCAGTGTCCAGAAATTTTGTGAATCAAATTGCAAAAGAACTCCACTTGACTGCATTGCCACCAGATGCTATCAGCCCATTTGAGTAAATTGTTGTCCAAGGTGAAGTGCTGCCCTTGCATCTGCAAAGCCGATGTCAAAAATTATGTTGTCAGCTGCATGGATGTCATTTGCCAGAATTCCATACCAAACAAAATGAAGGACAATAACAGATAGTAACAAAATTGACAACAAAAGATGAAGAAAGAATGCGGCAGCTCCTCAGTGTGAGCACTCCTGATGTTGTGTCGCCTGCCGCACTGTCAAATGTGTACAAATACTTTGGAATGTGAAATTCGGAAAGCACTCCTGTTGCTGCGCCCTTATCGCTTCCACATCGACTTTATTGGATGATTGCAGGACATAAAATGTTCTTGGGTCGCACACACGCCCACAACATCGCCTACAAGGCACGAGGGCAACCATCATTTTGTAGTGTCGAAGGCAATTTGAAGGATTGCAGCACACTGTCTCATTGACAGCATTTGCTCCTGTCCCCCACAGGTGCGTGTTGAGTGCGTGGAGTCACCGTATGGGAACATGTATCTCAGCGCCCAGCAGCTGCAGAGAGACCTGGAAATGGACCAAGTCTGGAGCGAACTGCAAGCTGCCCACCGCCAGGGCATACAGGTCATGGGCCGAGTGTTGAATCCCGTGAACATGGGATTCGCTGTGGGGATTGGCGGCTTCGTTGGATTCCTGCCCCTCACACGGTGTGGACTCGCGCTGGGGCGGCTGATAGGCATCCTGTACCCGTTCATCATATTGAACATGGACAACGAAAAGAGGACGTTTGTCTTGCAGGATGCAGAGTTTGCGTTCGTGAGGCGGGCGAAATACATAGGGTGGGGGAAGTGGGGAACTGACTATTGACTGATCGCTGGGTGCTGCGCATAAAATGCTGAAAGTTTCTGGCGCCAGGCAAGTCCGACTTTAGAGGCAGTCGGATTGGCGGCATCGATGGAGACATACCCATCAATGTCCAAGCAGAAGTCGGGCAAGGGCTGACAAGGTTGTATTTTATGCGGAGAGACGCACGCGCCATTGCAATTTGCGTCCTGCCCAAGTGAATGATGTGAGGAGGGCAGCAGGGCTACGTGCATGTGCTGCCGACCATTATGCCACTGTTGGAACAGGGGCATGGTTTGTGACATTTGAGGTTGCAACAAGGGGGGCAGTGATCCTCCTGCGCGTCTCAAGCCAGGCCTGGTCTTTACGTTGACGTTCGCTTACATTTTTACGTTGTACGTTCACGTTTTAACGCTTAGAAACGTAACAATGCAAAGGGGCTGTTTTTGTGGATATGTTTGCGGCTCATTGGGACACCCACCTTTTGATAAATTCGCACAAAATCAGTCCTCCGCCCCCTCGAGCATCTGCAACACAGCGTCCACCTCGCCTCTGCAAGGCCAAAGACATCGTCAAGCAGAAAGTCGTTGTCTTCCCACTCCGGCGCGCCTGGCTGCCACGCCCCCAGACTCCTTGAGTCTGCATGTTGTCAAAATTCACGCATTTCTATGCGTATTTACGCTGTTGTGACTAGAACTGATTGAGTACGATTAACAATTGAATGCATGAAAAGATGATGAAGCATTATGAATTGCATTATTAAGGACGTTGATGAACGGGCTGATTGTAAAGGACAGAACGCCTGTTGTCCCTTGGCCTCGGCTGTAAACCGTTGCCGTGGACTCGAGCGTATGGTTCCCGTTCAGGGATCGCCAACCCTCGATCCTGCCTTCCTTCGACAACGCGTCAAAACGTAAATACTATCTTTACGCGTAATGCGCATGAATGGTCAGTGTTTACTCCGTAAAGGCAAAGCCTCTGAAAGAGATCAAGCCTTGTTCCTTGTGGTCTTGCTAGTACGGATGTTGGCAGTATTTGTACAGAATTTGGACGTCTACGGGTCCCAGGGGGGTTTCGTGCCAATCACGATTTAATTATGCTCGCGTCTCTGGCCCAATGTCCTTAGTTCGGTGCCGGGAAAGACCCCGATTGGGCTAGTTCTTTTTTGTGGGGTGTGTGCGCCGCAGTGAACAACTGCCAATGCCACTTCTGACTCATCAAACCACATTCAAGCAAGTATCCATTAAACCCCTGTCGTGTCGTCATCCAGCGTGACTCGTGTTCGGTGCCTCAGGAGGCGAGGAGAATAACATATCTGTAATATCTGTAAGCGCCATGGCTGCTTCCATGGCCAAAACAGAGCCGGATTTGTAATGCTGATTGCGCTGGCAGAGTACGCTTTGCTGGCATTCCCGCCTCAACAGTGCCGAGGGTTTTGAGCGACGCTTCCAATGCTTCTAGACTTGGATTCAAACCAGCCAGGCGTTCAATACATGCCACAATGTACGGAGCCGTGCAAAATTGCATCTGAGGTTTGCTCAATGCGATACGCAGTGATAACTTGGCCACAGCTGGCCGAAGTAATACCAGACGGCGGCCTCCTCACCTTCCGTACCCACATGTAATGCAGAGAAATTAAATGAATGCGCGCACGCGCATCCTCGCTACACATATATGTGAAACTCGGTCCTCTCCTATCAACCTACCGTCCCCTCATCCCGTCTCACGCACTCGAGCCCACCAAACGCCACGCACCCCTTGGCGGCGCACCAGCCCAGCCGATGATGGCCCGACGCCCGCCCTTTCCACAATCCAACCCCCCAGCAGGCGCAAAACGAGTGCTGAATCCTATTTGGCAGTCAAATCACGCAATCAAGGCGCGCTGCCCATTCCACCCACCAGCAGGGGGCCCCTATTGCGACTCGCCATCAGATGTGCCCCCTTCAGAGGCCTCCCCATCGCGGGCGCCCCTGTCACCAAGGTCCATGGTCACCACCCAGCCCTTGCACTTGTCCGAGCCGCACAGGCAGGGCGTCTTGTGCTCGCACCTCTCCAGCTGCTCCCTGCTCAAGTCAGGGAAGTAGTCCACCGTCAGCTCCTGCCCCGGGACGATGTCGCAGAGGCTCTGGAACAGGATGCGCGGGACGCCGCCCTCGCTCTTGAACACCCTCGCCGTCCTGCGAGTCATCTTGCGCACCTCCATGCTGCATGGGCAAAGGCACAGGCGGGCTTGAGACCGGGGCACTGCGCGGTGCGCTAGCCCTCACTTTGATTACATTCGTCATCGTCATCACCATCACTTTTATCGAACAAGGCGGTGAGGCGGCCGTCAGATTCCTATTTTGCCCGAGCAAAGCAGTGTCCGTGACCAGTTTGTGGAAATCCAATGGTAAACGCAAGCAAAGTCGATGAACCTATTAACTCTGACGCCAAGAAGCGATTGTCGCTGATAATGCACCGATGACACTGAATTCGTCGCGTGACAAGGCACACGCCCATGCACCAAAATAGCGACGTTGGGCAATGGGTTGCAAGCGGTGCTTGCTTGAGAGCATGGCCTGGCGGCCCAAAGCGCTGCCGTGATGGCGACAACAGGCACCAACGACAACGCTTGGAAGGCTGGATTCCATGCCGTCCGAGCATGGCTCAAACCGCAGACGCGCTCGGATCCCGGTCGTTCCATTTGTCCAAACACATGGCAAAGGGCTGGCCCCTGCACCTAGCAGACGACGATCGCTGCCAAGCACGTGCCCCCACCGACAGTGTGCTTGGGAAACCGATGCAATATACTCCGCAACTCTGTTTGAACAGTGGGCTGCAACTGTTGGGAATGGTCCAAGGCCTTCTTGTTGTAGGGCAAGAATTCTACTTCAGCGAGGTGCCGTGCTGTTGAGGAGCAGTTTGCAACAGTCCAAGCGCATTCTCTTAAGAAACAGCGCACAACACGTCCAGAAACGCATTCTAAAGGCTGTCCATCCCAGCAGGACGCACTGATGAAGTGGGGCATCAGCAGCACGTTTTCCTGGCTGCTGGTGGCTCTTGTGGACACATTCAAACGGGGTTACTAATATTGGTAGACGCCAAAGCGAAATGCTCGCATCTGCACGCACTGCATACGTGGTACATTTAATTCGCACAAATTAACCAAACAGGGACATTACAAATCAAAACTGGACAGCAAGTTCAAGGACTAGTACAAACTTGTGATGCAGACGTTGCTGTTGTGATGACCCCACATCCCCGCAAACGACATGCACAGCCGCAAACAAGTCCTACACATTCTGTAATTACGCTTGTGTGCGTCCATGGGGGCACGGCCAAGAAAGGCGCTGGTCACAATCAGGCCGCTAGTTTTGGCGTCTATACAACACCCAGTGACTGATTTGCATAATGATGTTGCAGCCTACGGTGAATGTACCGCAAGTCTCAAGGGACCCATTCACAGCAGCAACTGCACTACTGCCCAGCAGGATTCCGAATTGGACTGATTGTCCATCAAGTTCGTTGTCAACTACAAAGGTCAAAAGCCCGTGTGCAATCTGTCAGAGAACATTGGCCAAGATGTTGCAAACACTGCCTTTGCACCTGCATGGCGATGATGGGCGCATTCCACCAATATACATCATTCTAAAGTGTTTCTGCTGTTCTCCAACAGCTCAAAAATCTCGCAAGGGACACCAACTTAAATAGAGGTAACAGATCATCATCATCAAAATCCACGGATTACATTTGTCACAAAATGACAAATCACAGCCCGTGCACCTGGTAGGCGATGATGGGAGTGGAAACCAAGCAGATAATATGTTCGGAATCGATTATTCATGGTCCCATATCGCCACTCCCTATTGTCCCATGAAATGCAGTGAGCTGGCATGAGTAATAAAATCCCTGTGGATTAAAATATAAAAGCGCCAGAAGAATGCTATGTTGCTAAAATATGCAAGAGACCCTTGAAACCTCTGCCCAAAATGAGCAGTGAGGCCCCAAACAGGTTTAAGCTGCAGGTGGGCTTCACAAGGCGTGCACAGAGATGTTATCCACCAACAAGCATTATTTGTGTGGATCCCCTGAAGGGGAGGCAGGGTGCCACCCCATGTCGTCAATTGAATGCGCTGCCGCATCAGCACGCCCTTTTCATGCCATCGCGCGACCTATCGCGATGTCAGGTACACGCGTCCCAGAGAATACTTATATGTGACAGTTGTGACCTCATGCGACATCTGCAGCCGCAATCTCATCCTGTACATCAGGCAGCGATCGCAGGATTGAAGTACATGACCCTGACGCTGGGAGCCAGGCACACAGATATGACAGGAAACTTGAAACTGGAAAAAAATGCACGAGAGCCGTACAGTGCCCCACGTTGCTGACGGAATTCTCCAGCAACCATGTCTGAATGAGACCTGGCATCTGCCAATTCCACGGATTAAATTTCTCAATCGAAAGTTCTCAGGCCATGACATGACGAATTGCATTCCGCAATTGAATAAATTCGTACACTGCGTTTCGGCAGCCCATTGGCAAAAGGGCAGTGAGATGGCAGTATAGGGCACAAGCTGTGATAGAGCATTTCATCCATGTGTCCTATTCCGTTCGTCCAGTGAGCAGTACATTCGACGATCAGCAGAAAACTTCAGCAAGCAACATTTGGGGAGAAATACGATCTCCACCCCATCCACCAACCCCACCCCTAACCCCGCAACAAAAATTTGACTTCATTCAATCAAGGCTGAACGTGGAGGTAAGGTTTATTGTCCTTGTTTCACTAAATCTACTATTGAACTACCCTACTGCGTAGCCTACCATGTTGGGGTTTGTTGCCTCCTTGCACCACTCAGCAAAGACGCAAAACTGACAAGACAGGACGAGAGCGGCGTTCTACTGCCACGTACATTGCGGAACCTGCGACAAAACGCAGCATTCATTTACCAAGGGTCGCAGCTGTGGTTGACGAAGCGGCTGATGTTGCCCTTCCTCTGCGCATCAATACATGTCAGTTGGCCTCTGTCAGAAGAGGAAAGGCTGCGGAAGTCCTTTTGAGACGTCCTCGCGTCCACATCGAAGACGTACTTTGTGTGGTGACGTTCGCTCGCGCAGTGCTGCATTTCCTCTTCTGTCTGCAGCTCTCCTGGAATCAAACGCCGGCTGTCAAATTCACCAATCTTTGTATCAAGGATAGCACACCATATTCAGCCCCTCCGCGTCAAAAAATTTTCGCGTTGCACTTTTGCTCTGACTTTTTCTTCAGTGCGTTGTTTACTTCTATTTTGTGTTGCTCCGCAAAAGTATTACTTCCTCCGTACAAGATTAATTGTCCGCCATGTCAACGACATAATCCGTTACAAGGACGGCCTCGAAATTACAAATGGTTCAAAATCGGAAAAAGTGGGTTCCAAAACACTTAACTATCAATTTCAAGAAGAAAAATGTGAGACACGACCCCTTTGAGCGCTAGGCGAAAGGAAAATTTGAGTCATATTGACCCCCAAAACCAAGGTTTACTAGGTAACAAGACCCTTGGTACAAAAAACTGCCAAATCTTTAGTACTCAAAGGATTGACTTGAAATTTAGATAGTGTACTTGCAAACACAACTTTGCGAGAAATCTCATTGAAATATGATATCGGTATGATGGAGAAGTAATGCACCAGGTTCGTAGAGGACAATAATCTTGGACAGAGGAATTTTTAATTTTCCTCCACAAAAAAAGGCGAAGCGTTGCATTCCTATGTGTATACCCGGAAACTGCCGTCATTCATCCCACAACACATGTCATCATCGAACTTCTTCGATCATTGCATCCATTGAACACCCAAAGCATTCCTCTCCAGCTAAAATTAGGGCGACGCACGGCAGGGCGATTGGACCATTGCATTCCCTCTTGACCGCGACCCTTTTTGCTGTAAAGTGCAGATTGGGAAATCAGGCTACCAGAACAGGTTTATTGGATGTTCTGTGCCCATCATCACATGGGAGGTGCAAGGGCATTGCTTGTCATGGCCATACTGACAACTTTGGTCCACGAAATTTGTAGTCCTTGCATTTCAGCTGCCTAACCATGTGGACACAACCACGCGGATGATGATGCAATGCTTGGAAACCAGAGCACCCCCAACAACAACTCAAACCCACCCACCACAATGCAGCAATTTGCAAAATGCATGCAAAAGATGTTCCACATATGGGGTGGCAGTGCCTTGGAAGAGAAACTGAGAATGCCTGACAGGTGAAAAGCAAGTGTCTCACCACCTCTGCGACAAACAATTTCAGCATCATTGCCGGGCATATAAACATACCGCAACCAAACGACAACTGTTGGACATTTGCCTTGCTGGCACATTCAACACAGGCAAATCCACAAGAGGAGAAAAGCACAGTTGCAAGGAAATGCACAAGCACTGACCTGCACACCGAGGGGCCCTAAGTCAGCATGGGGCAATGCAACAAGACAAATGCATATCAAATTGAGCATACCTGCATATTCAAAGATGCAATGCCCACGAGGAATGGGCTCCATGGCAATGACGCCCCAGCCCTTGCCCTTCCCAGGGAGCATGCCCGCCCACACTTCATATGAACAGCCTTCCCGCAGCACGCTCCTGCATGAACCTCTCTTGATGCCATTCTGCGTTGCCTTAGGGCTGGCCACGAGCAACGCTGAGTATTCAAAGTCCAGCCCTGCCTCAGCCGTGTCTGGCTGTATGTAAACATTCCTTTCAAGCCTGCACTGCCATTTGACCAACTCAGTCTCCATACGTCCTGCAACCAGTGCTGAAAGGCATGTTCCCCAGGACAAAGCTGCAAGGAAAGGTGCTCAAAAATTGCAAAGTGGCCCCGCAGCTGCACTGCAACGTTCAGTGTCTGCATTTATCTTCCATTCGCCACTCTACCAGAAGGGTGCTAAGATTGCAGAGTGGCTCACAATGTTGAAACGCATCTGACTTGAGCAAATGTTCATTGCTGGTAGCTTCTATAGTCAGGGACTGGAGCTCAATACTTTCTAGTGCCAAAAGAAACACTCTCATATGTTGATTCCAGCAAACCACTGCTGACCCGATTTGCATTTCTCAACTTGGAAATTTCTGCATCAATCAATATGTGACCATTGCTGCCCTGAGCCACTGTACAGCCTCAGTGTCTGTCGTGTATCAAAAGGTCTGCATGTTGATTCTTATGACAGAAGATGCACTTGAGGACACGAATGTGATGTAAGGCTCATGCAAAACACCACAAATAAAATACATTATGAAGCTGCAAAGTATTGCAGCACATCCCAGAACAAAAGAGAAAACAGTAGAATAGAAACAAGGTAACACAGTCAACAAAACAGAAACTGGAGTACAATACAACAAATTGCAATACAATGCAATGGTCTCACCTGATCGCCCCTTGCTGCATCAGCATCCTCTGCTCACTGGTGAGCTCATAGATGCACTGGGCCTCAGCACCGGGTTGCCTGTGCCTGCGGTGGCTGGAGTTCCCACCTTTTTTCTCCCTGTTCAGTTTTTCGTCCAGTTGCATTGCGATGAGAAAGTCACTTCCCACCTGACTGGCCTTCCGCTTTGGGCGGCCACAGGTCGTGAGCTCGTAGCCACTGAAACCTTGTCTGCAGGCGCAACCTGCACCATCTTCCTAGGTGTACGGGGACAAGAACACATGCACATCGTCGGTGATGGTTTCATTGTTTCAATTGGATGCACAGGGACACAAGGCAGAGACACAGCACTTTCTGGTGGTGATGCTCATTGTGCAAAAAATAAAACAGCAATCACACATAGAGCGATTTGGCTAAGCCACGGCTTGTTGGACGTCTTCCAGTTCAGTGCCTTGTACCCTTATCTTCTGGACAACCCTTGTTGGAAAGTCGTGTAGCCTAGCACATTCCTGCTGAACGTGGCTCAAGATATTTACCTCTTCAGATGCCAGGGGTATGACCAGATGTCTTGAATTCGATTCAGCACTCTGGTATCAAAAATATAAGAGGAAACATCAGCAAAGGAACTGTTGGTTGACAGTCAATGCAAGGATGTTGTCTGTGGGGTGCGTCCATATAAAGAAAGCCTGCTTCCAGGTGCAAGTGAGGTGTGTTGTGTTTGCAGCGGTACCTGCCAATAACGTTGAAAGTGGCACCTTCTTGATAGATGTGAAGGAATCATGCAATGCAACAAACGCCAAATGGTCCAGTTGGGAGGAAACATGCATGCTGCCTCCTTGCAGAAAGCCATTTGCAATTACGAAAAGCGCCTGGCATTAGAAGATTCAAGCACTGTGCACTGCCATGTCCTGACAAATGCCCCTGGCAAGAATGTATGCCACATTTTCCTGACATCAGAAAATGCAGATATCACTCCCAAGCAGGTGGTCTGGCACTGGCAAACAGAGAACGCAGCTTCCAAAGAGGTGCAGGGAAAAAGCAGCCATGTCATAGTTTTCCAAAGCACGCACACGTCACACATGCATCTGCTACCCTAAAACAAGGACGTTTCAAGAACGAAACAACAAAACAGCTGGCAGCATACCCAACAATGTCCAACAAAAGACAGTGACTTGTTGTGCTTTGGGGAATGCAACCGATGAGCATCTGTCCCACACCTCGAAGCACTTTGCCTTCCCCTTCACCAGCGTCCCAGACCGCACTGGTGCACAGGGGATAGGTGCTGCTGTGCTGCCAGGTGTCACAGCCACTGAGGTGCATTGCTGATCCGCAGAACAGGCAGGCGCACAGCCCACAGCACCCAAGCAGTCCTCCCTCCCATCGCCATCAGTGCCACTGTCGGAGTCCAAAGAGCAGAGGTCGATCACCATGGAGGTGTAGGGAGGCTCATGATGGGCATGGTTCACAGTGCCCATAACGTCCGACATTTCTTCTGCTTCTAATTGTACCTCCACCTCCTTCCCCGTTACTGCATTTACACCTGGTGTTGCTTCACTGCAAAGTTCAGGCTCCCCTCTCAAACAATCGTTTTGGCGAGACGCCTGCCTGGGATCCTCTGAGAACCTGTCTAATGCCTGCGCTATAGAATTTGTGTGTGCTGAGCCACCTCTTGATAAATCCTGGAGCATAGTGAACATCACAGTTGTTGGAAATGTTGACTGACAAGCGTTTAGGGGGCAGATCAGCATTCTATCACCTGTTCAGTTAGGCGTTCTAAACTGTTCGGTTAGGTGCACTTCCGTGCCATGTGTTGATAGAGCTTGAATTTACAATGCCCCAAGCAGAAGGTGATGAGCACTGGTTCAGTTCATTCCAGTTCAGGCAGTTGTTGGAAACAAACAGTATGCTCCTAGGGAAGAGGGACTGCTGGCAGTCACAGTGCTGGTCCAGTAGGCTTCAATCCTTTCTGTGTCAACACAGGGAGAGCCATTGCCTTATAGAGATTTGAGTGCAGTTGCTCTTCATCCAGATCCTGATCAAGTACACATGGATCTGGCTGTGAGATTCGGCATCTCCTACACTTGCCTGTTGCTTAGATTCTGTTATTCAACAATCAAATGCGGACTGTGGGTATGCAGGGCCAGTGCTTCGCAACTGTTTGACAGATGTCACCAGATGGACTATCCCATCCCACCTGCAGGTGCCAGAGAGCAATATCCACTGTATCCACAAATGCCACTGTGCGATTCTGATTGAGCATACTCCGTTGCCCATCACTGTGCTTGAGATTTCTTCCAAAGTTTCTCAGCAGCATTGGGCTGTCCTTTTTCCAATCCCCTGGAACTTAACAGGAGAAGAGCCTTGCCCAACAAGGGGCCTGCAACTGAGCCCACGCAAGCATCTGGTTTACCTCACATGCTCCACATGTCTCGCCGGGCCCCATCCTGTGCTCCTCATCCGACACGTTCCGTGGCAGCGCCGGTGCAGGCTGGGCAGGGGGCGTCGATGGCTTCGAAGATGCGCTTGCATCATCAGCATGCCCAACGAGGCATGCCTGCACATGGTGCTCCGAGCCATGCAAGCCAGTCTGCCTGATGGGGGCAACCGACACCCCTAGGCTCTCTGCCTGACTCAGTGGCTCACTGCCAACCGCCAGCCTGGGCTTCTTGAACATCTGCTCCAGGCCTGACACCCGCGCCCAGCCCCCCCTCTTGCACCCCCAGCGCCCCCGGTTCAGGAACGCGCAGATCTCCTCCAGTCCCGCCCCGTCCTCACACAACTTGCAAAGTTCTGCAGCATCTGACGACTTCTGTCCCCTGAGCAGCCCCAGCGCCAGGTGGCGCAGGCTGGCCTCGCTCACGGCCCTGCCGCCCTCCCTGGGCAGCAGGTCAAGGGCTGAGACCGCGATCTTGGCCTGGCCGGACGCCACGGTGACATTGAACCTGCCCACGCTGACGTAGTGCCCCAGCGTGTGCAGGCACTTGAGGCCCTGCGCCACCTGGGAGATGAACTTCCGCGCGAGCCGCTCGTCCAGCGGGCCGTACACCCTCACCACCTCGTCCAGCCAGGCACCCCCCTCCCACTCGTAGCAGGCCACTATCCGATCCCCGGCCCAGAACCAGTCCAGGATGTTGCGCACGTTCTGGTGACGCATCCTCCTCAGGCTTTGCACGATCGGCGCCAGAGTCTCGTGGGCCGTGCGCAGGTTATGTGACAGCGACGGCATGCTCGAGATCATCTCCAGGAGCACCATGTGGCCGCGCAGCCTGTGCATCGCCTTGTACACCGCCCGCCCCTCCTCGCCATCCTCCACGCTGGCGTCCAGTACATAGTCGCCGCACTGGCGGCGGTCCCCCAAGGCGGCCAGCGGCCCCCCGCTGGCGCTCCGATTGCGCCCCGAATCGTCGCCGCTCGCTGCCTCCTGGGCAAAAACGAATCGAACTCAGGCGTCAATTCACAGCTGGCGGCAATCCAGGGCCCAGAATCGATGGGGAGGGCGGATCCAGACAAGGGCCAAAGCGGGGAGAAACGCAGGCGCGGGTAGTAAACTGGTTCCGTCAACGCCGAGCACGCCATACGATAGGCGCGCCCCGCGCAGACCGCACGATTGCACGTCAACTCATCCAGGGCAACGAATCCCAAGACCGCGCTGGCGTGGTCGGCGCCGCGAACCGCCCCCAACCGCAAGGACCATCGCCACCTCCCCCAAGCCAATTTCTTCGTCGCGCATCCCCCGGTCAAACGCCCCGCGCGCATTCCCCGGGCGCCGGGACGCCCCGCGCGGATCGAACAATCCAAAAATTGCGCGACCCGAGTGCGCGCGGCCCGCCGGCCACCCGGGGCGCCATCTCCTCCGCCCGCCGCACCCGCGTGGAGCCGTCGAGCCGATCCATGCGCCCGCCCCCGCCTCCGATGCCCCAGCGCCTGGCTCGCGCTGCCCCCGCTCGGGCCCCTGGCGCACGGGACGGCCTCCGCGGCCGCCGCGGCCGGTGTGGCGTGCCGGACGTGCAACCCGCCCATCCGCGCCAGCATGGTCGATCTTCATCATCATGCGCGCCCCAATTGCCCGCGAAGGAATGGGCGCCAGCCGCGGCGGCCCGCTGCCGGATAGGCTGATGGGATGCTGGAGTCGCGCCAAGGGGGACGTTCCCAACGCTCAGAGAATGTCCAGCTGCCACGCCTATGATAACATCCGTCGAAGCCACTCTAATGCCAGTCACCAGCAGAAAACAGTCTGTTTGCGATGCCAGCTGCGATGCGATTTTGACACAAATCGATACCGTCACAGCCCCTTTTATGCCATCGCAATCACTGTGACGGCATCAATTTGTGTCAAAATGGCATCGCAGCTGGCATCGTAAACAGACAGTTTTCTACCAGTGTTTTCGATTTCGCAATGCAAAACCATTTTTGCTTCGGTTCCTGTTCGCCAACTGGCGATGACACCTTTTTTGATGTATTACCACCGACAAACGCTTCTTGGCTTGAGCAGTTTATGAATTCATAGACTTTGCTTGTGTTTACATCAGATTTCAATGAGATGATCGTAGGCACTGCTTCGCTTGGGCAAAATAGGAAGCTGACGGCTACCTCATTGCCTTGCTCTGTAAAAAATGATGTTGATGATGATGAATGTCTAGCACCGTCCCCAACCCTGTTCGTTGGGAACCTCACACATGTTGTGAAGCCGTGCACGGCAACATGTATATGCGGGCAAAGCGAGGTTACAATCTCACGGCAGGTCATCCATGGATGCGCAGTGATTCTGTCCAATCTATGCACGTATGCACCTCTGCACATAACGCCTAGTCCATCCACCCATTCGTGCACAAACAAAGTCTTTGCATGTCATCGTACGGCGCAGAGGATCTCAGCGTGTACACCATCACAATATATCGAGGAATATGGACATATCCAGGAAGTTGGTGGATACATCTTTGTGTAAATGATAAATGATGATGATGATGATGATGAACATCTTGCCCAACTTCCAGGCTGGAGTCGCCATCATAATCAAAATGCTTGCGCATTCAATGTTCAAATCACAACCTTTTCACATCCAATTTACAAGCAAATGCACAGCTTTTAATTTCTGTTGGCAACCTTCCAAGGTTCACCTTGGAAATGATGCTTATCAGCAAGGATTTAGCACTAGCTTAGGCACATTAAGCCAGTGTTCAGGTATAAAGCATGCATACCATTATTACAATCTTTTGTTTGGGGAACTTCTTCCCCAGAGCTCTGGGGGCTAGCCGCCACAACATCAACTCGCTCAATGCGTTATGGCATCTTCAAGCCAGTTATGTCGGACAGGGACACAAGCTTTAGGACCAGATTGGCAATGCATTGTGGACATAATCGGTGTATATGCAGAGTCTGCATATGCATCGATTATGTCCACAATGCATTGCCAGTCTGGTCCTGAAGTTTGCCTCCATATTTCTGTAATTGAAATCTAAATTGTTTAGGTTGATGTACTATCAGTACATCGACCTAATGAACTTAGATTACTTAGTACCGACCTAAAAGCACCTGACTATAACTAGGCATAGATTACTCTGAGCATCCTCCAAGGCATCTCTAGAGCAGTCCAATGCCAAGAGGAAGCGCAAATTTGTTTTGAAGATTTTGCAGAATTAAATTAGTGGCTGCTTAATAGAAAGCATGCAGCTATGGAGCTTGGAGATTGTGCATTGACAGGTAGTGCTGTACTTGAGCGCGCGTTGATGAGATTGCATAAAAATGGGGGGCCATATCCTTTCAATGCATCAAAGAATGCTGTCAAGGAATTCTTTGAGGGACTTGCCAAATTCATACAAATCAAGTCTATGCAGCACATTTGCAGCACTGGATGCCTGTGAGCATGGCATCCCATTGCTGTGAGGTCAAGCGTTGCTTGAAATCCATGCCAATTGTGTGTGGTCTTGCATGTCATCATGGCGGTTCATGAGTAGTCAGGCAGCGAGAGGAGGCCTAGGAATGCTTGCTAGGGGAATTTGGCAGCCCATTGTAGACACTACGAGGAGTGGTGTTCTGTGCTGTTCACGCAGCCCCGGCGGGCGTTAAGGGCGGAACAGTAAATGCGGTAGATGTGCATTCCTAGACAGCAAAATGGATCGATGTCGAGGCTCGGTTGAGCTATTAGGTTTGCTGAATGCATTAAATGAAGGCGTTCATATGAACGTTTGCCAAGCGTTCATATGAACGCCTTCATTTACACAAGACAATGGCTTGTGCAGCTCAATCATGGCATCACCGGGGACATAGCGGGTGTTGTGTGACCAAGGTGCGCGTTGTTGATGTGTGTGATGCCCGCTTGGGTTTGACACAATTGTTTGGCGGTATTTGCACTGTCGGGTGGCAGGAGGCGGGCAGGGGTTCATGTTGACAGGTTAAGTGATAATGTAAGGCACCCTGTGGTTTTTGAAAATAGGGGGCATTTGAATTCTAGAGTTTAATCTGCGCTGCGATGCTGCAACTTGTATGCTCTTGTGCTTTTGCTTCCAAATTTCATGTTCTCCCGTCGACGCCATGGCGCTGCCAGACCGTTGTTTGATTTGAGTTCTGGGGTTCAAAACTATCATAGATTGTTGTGTTGCTCGTTCACCCAGTTTAGGGAAGGGGTGAAGGCATACTGATGCGATCCCCATAGTCAGCCCGCCAAATGACTGGGTTGTTGCAACAATCACGAAACGGAAATATTATGAGCAAAACAGCAAATGCAGAAAAGCGCATTGCAACAGCCAAGCAACCCAACAAGTGCGCAAGACTTCCACAACCACTAGACCTAATCTGTGATGCTGGTTCTGGCGCTGGCAAATTCCTGCAATATGCTCAGAATGTGCACATGCATCTGAACACAGCAAAAAGCGCCAACCGGCACACGTCATAAATGTACGGGAATCGCACATTCACTGAAGATGTTACAAAAATATTGTGCCAAAAATCCTGAGTCATTCAGCAATTGTGCTACACAATCATGAAGCATCGTCAGAGTGTCTCCAGCTGTGTAAGGTCAATTTTTCTATTCAAATATAGACTATAAAGTCGTGCACATGCAATTCTTTTGTTGCGTCAGGCTGGTTGGCAAATGTGCTAAATTTGGGCGTCAGCTCAAACACACTTCAGCAAGTTGTGCCAACGCCCCCAAGCTGTCCAGCAGCTGCGTGAGATTTACGCAGCTGCTCAGATTTAGGAATTGGAGTTGTACCAACAGACTTATGCCATCTGGCAACTGTTTGAGATTTGGGCAGCCCCGAAGCTGCGTCAGCGAGCCCAGACTGTCCGGCAACTGCATGACTTTCACGCATGATGCAAACGTAATGTAGAGAGTTCTACTAGCGACCCCAAACTCTGTGGCATTCGTGCATTTCGGCAAATACAGTCTCCGAAGCTGTGCAGGTTTACACCCTAAAGCTTTGGCAAAGATCCCGAGCTTTGCAGCTGTGTGAGATCCCTGCATTGCCCCAGACTCAGCACTTGCAGCTGCGTCAATGACCCCAGGTTGTCCCGCACCTGTGTGAGTTTTGCACATCAATGCAAATGCAGATTCTGAAGTTATAGCAATGGCCCTAGGCTATCTGGCAGTCGCAAGAGATTTGTGCACCCCCCAAAAAATAGGCACTCAAGCTCTACCAGTGATCCCATCATGTTTGAGAACACGGTGAGATTCCCGATTCTCCCAGACCTAACACTTAACTGTGCTAATGTTCTCAGGCTCTCTGGCAACTGTGTGAGTTTCACACACACCTGGAAAAGCAGAGATTGGAGTTTTACCAATGACCCGAGGCTGTCCGGCAACTGCAAGAGCTTAGCGCATCCCTGCAGATTTGGTCTTTGAAGCTGTGCCAATGATCATACACTGCATGGCAACATCCTGGGATTGCTGTATTCTTGCCGATCTAGCACTCGAAGATGAGCCAATCAACCAAAGCTGTCTGGCAATTGTGTGGAAATTCCGCATCAGCCCATATATAGTGCTTGAAGCTGTGGTAAGGATCCCAAGTTGTTTGGCAAATACGTGAGATTCGGGCATCCATAGTATGCATCCATCATATGGATTCCATACGATTTAGCACTTGAAGCTGTGCTAGCCATCCCAGGTTGTCAGACAATTGTTTGAGATTACTGCAATCCCTCAAATCCCATTCCTTAAGCTCTTTCAGATTGTCAACGGAGCTGAACCCTGTGCCTGACAACCCCGACAACGATGCACCTACACATGATGCAATGTGAGGTAAAATAGGGCAAAACGCGCGATCGATGGTTTTCAAGCATTCATGCATATTTCAACGCCACAGAACAACCCGACTAATCAGTATCTTGATGCCATCATTCGTGATCTTGTCAGCCAGCCTGAAGTCAAGCTGTTGGAGTGCTGTCAGAAATGCAAGGAACTTCATTCCTGTGTCTGTTGCCTGAGTGCACTGGACCAATTCAGCAACGGCAGCCCAGTTGCTCCCTCCAGCGACCGCAAACCTTCATCTTGATACCAACAACCAGGGGCGCGTGCCGAGGCAGATGCAGGTTGCCGGAAGCTGGTGTCCTTCCCTCTGTACGATGTGTCCACCCTGACGTTGTTGTATGTTGCAAGCGTGAAATTGGTCCCTCTGTCGTTTCTGTGACTGTCTACTCTTGTTTCGACACCCTAAATCCTAAACCACTGACCCACTGACCGGCGCCAAATTAGTCGCTCTCTCTTTTCCGTCAAGATCCCTTCTTGTTTCGGACACCATAGACCCCAAATTACTAACCGACTGACCGGCGTTGGCCTTCGCCAGCGGAAGATGAAGGATCTTCACAGAAAAGACAGAAGGACTAATGTATTCTCCCCACTGACCCTCGTTGGCCTTTTCAGCTGAAGAAGGATCCTCACGGAAAAGACAGAAGGACTACTAATAGGGACTCGTGGTAATATATTCTCCGAGTGGCAATTCGCAACCAAGGATTTGGTACATTATCCACTGTAAATTTGCATGCACATTGCAGTCTGCAGCGCATTGTCTGTCGTGGATTTGCCCGTGGGGGGGCTGTTGTCCACGGCCCTTGGCACCCTGCGCGACGCCGTGCGAAGTTGCAACGGGGCCCCGCCGAAGGCGGCGCTGAGTTGCAGTGGGAGTGCATTCAGCACCGCCGATCTCGGCAGGTGGGTTGTCGAGTCCATGCCGGGACCGTTTTTGAGTTGCGTTTGTTGCTTTTGCTTTGTCAAGACAAAGCAAAGGCCCTTGCGCCGAACTGGCGATGACGGGCAACGGTCCCAAGTGCAGGTTTTGTTCTGTGGTCGAGACAAAGAGGGGGGGGGAAGGGGGGGGGCACCGGAGGAGATTTACGGGGTGTGGTTGACTCGAAAGATCGTGCATCGATTGCCGCTGGCGTGGAGCAGCTCGCTGGCGCCAGTCCGCGATCGGGATCTGCCGCATGGCGACTCTCCGCGACAGTTGGTAGCGCTGGGCTCCCATCCTGAATCTGAGCCGATGGGTCCCCTTCCGTCGTTTGTGGGCCGCGAGCGGCCGCCGGGGCAGGGGATGCGGAGCAGGCGATTGGGCCGGTGAGAGCCCATGGCGATCCCTGCCGTCCGCCCTTCCAGCCAGCCGTGCCATGGGCTACATGGTATTAAGTGGCAGCCAGTTGGTGCGGTCTTTGTTCTGAACTCTTTGCACGTCTTTCCGCTGTGTTTCATAGGTTCCTTATTCATTAGTGTACCACAAGCCAAACCACACTGCTGAAGATCTCGCAGGTGCAGCAAACGGCTTACATTTTTTCAAATAGAAAGTAGTGTCGTGTGCGCTGTGCGTGTTGCACTCATTGACTTCACCGCCATCTTTGGCTCAGCAGGCGCATGTCGAATGCATGACGTGCACCCTTTCTGTTCTGAGAAGCAATATTCACCATTGTAATGGAGTGTGCGCTTGGATTCAGACCACAGTCACAAGTGCGGCCCAAGAGTGACCATATCAAGTGGCCCCAATCCTGTGTTGTGTACCTTAAGGCCCTTTGACGTCTTTCCAGGAGCCCATTCAACGGGCATGGAATAACATTCCCGGTCTTGTTAGTACTCAGTGGGTCCTTAGAAGAGAATGCTAACAAAGGCTGCAATATCACCAAAAAGACAAGACAAGGAAAAATCTCCCATTAGGCATGATGCACAAGCAAGCATGCATGCTGGCACTCCTGCCTTTCTCGTGCAGGCAAAGAAGCAAAGATAATTTCCACAGAGAGAAAGCATACCCTGAAACAATCATCCCCCTCTTCAGCAGGAATTTTGAGCTGGACACGTTTACAATTATGGAGGTGGCACGGGCAGAAAGATGTCCATAACTCCACATAGTTCCACTCAGCTCGATTGTTCAGATGCTCTTCCCAAGGCATGGTCTTGACAGTCGTGTTTCCATGAACATGTGCTGAAGCAGTGCAGCCATCAGCTTTTAGAAAAAAATTGCCACTTGGGGATGCAGTTGACTGTGCAAATACTTGCAAGCAAAGAAGGTGCAACCATGGGCAGCATCAATGTGCAAACCAGCTCCATGCCACCAGACTGGAGTAACATGAAACCCTGCGAATTAAAGCAGGCACAGCTTGATGGAAGCACCTTGATTGCTGCGATTTGAGTTTTCAAAACTCTGAAAGCAGGTAATACAATTGCCAATCCCTCCAAACCATGACTATTGTGGCACTGTGACTGTTCCATCATCGCAGGCTGGCCTTTCGACTAGACCCGTGGCTTCTTCTCTTTTTCATTCTAAGCCGTTCTGGTGTTCCTGCAGCCTGCTTGTCCAAACGATCTTCTAAACACCCCTTGGCTGGATTCAGCAGCAGCCAAACCTTGAGATGCAATCCGGCCAGTGGCTGCCAACAGTCCAGTGTCTGGGCCTGAAATCTGCCCACCATCCATTCCCAGATGCCACCATGAAGCCTACCTGTTTGCCATACCATCCTGTCGGCGTCGGCGCCCTGTGGCTTCAGCGGAGACCAACTCAGTCCAAGCCACAGCGATCTGTTTTCCGATCCAAGGCAGCCTCGGGCAGTGGTCCCCCAGCCGATGCCCAAAGCTCTGAATATGGGGGTAACTTTGGTACATACCAAGGTGTACCAGCCGGCCCGCCGCAGTACCCAGTTGCGCCTCCACCAGTCGTGGAGACGCCCTCTGGGCTGCCGCCCTGGGTCTGGATCCTGGTGGGTGTCCTCCTGGCAAGCTTCTTCAACAAGGTTGCGAACTTCTTGCGGAGTCCGCAGCAGGCCATGTCGGAAATGATGTTCAAGCAGATGTCCAAGTCGATGGGCAACCAGCCACCGGAGGGGCCAGCGGCCGGGCAGCCCAATCCCTTTTTCAGCCCTGGAGCCGGGTTCCCTGGGATGGGCCCCCCTCCGGTGGACACTACTGCAACTCCAGTAACTCCTGTTGGCACCCAGGCAGCTCCACCGCCATCCATGTCGGGGGCAGGAGGGCAGACAGGAATGCAACAAGAGTACACGCCACCCGCTCAACCTGCAGCTGGCACAGCGCCACAGTCCAGTTTTGACCCTGCAGGTCCTGGGGCAACAATGCCTGGAGCAACAGCAGCAGGGGCTCCAACTGCCGGTGTGGCGCCTTCAGACACACTGGCTGCGGACCAAGCTGTGCAGCCATCCACGACGTCCAGGGGCTTTTTCTCAGATGTGGGGCGTCAGCAGGCAACCACACACGTGGACAGAAGTTCTGAACAAGATGAAAATGTTGAGTGGCTGTTCAATATGTTGAAGGACCCCCAGATGCGAGAATCCCTGGCGCCGTTCCTGCCGGAGCAGATGCGCGACCCGGATATGCTGGACGCCATCCTGGCCAACCCCGTCGTGAAGGAGCAGATGAAGACCATGTTCACACCAGAAATGTTGTCTAAGATGAAGGAGTATCAGGGATCAATCAATGACCCCCAGCTGAAGGCACAGCTAGAGGGTATGAACGTGAGCCCTGACGTGCTTATGCAGAAGCTGATGGGGGAGCCAGAGCTGATGTCCCTGCTGCAGAAGCCGAATGTCATGGAGGCAGTGATGGATATGAACAGCAACCCCGAGAACATGTCCAAATACATGAACGACTCAGAGGTGATGAAAGTCATGATGAAGATGAGCGACCTGACAATGCAGGCGCAGATGGGGACCCAGGGGCCCAAAGCCGTTCAACCGCCTCCACCCATGGCCCCCCAGGCAGCTGGGTATCAGTCTGCAACGCCTGGCACACAGCCTGCTGGTGATCAGTCCCATCCCGCACCTGCTCAGCCTACAGGTAGCCAGCAGACCGCGTCAGAGCCTGCTGCTTCCCCAGCACCTTCCACAGACTATCATGTCACATCGGAGCCTGCTGACTCTGCTGCAACCGAAGCAGATTCTCATGCTCCGCCAGAGCAAACAGCATCTCCCACAAGCAACCAGGCCAGGGTTGAGGTGGACTCAGACGATCAGGCAGTACCGACAGCACTTGTGGTGCCTGTTGAAGATGAGGCAGAAGCTTCAATAAGGGATGATGAGCAAGGTGGAAGGGCAAATGGAATTGAGGCAGCCGAATCGTCCCAGGGAGCTCAAGCAGGGCCTCCCAGTGCACAGTGAACAAAAGGTCTGACGACTTTGTTGTGTTGCCATATTGAGGGACAGAAGTGGTTGGGTAGTGCAGGTTGTGGCCCAGGGTTTATGACAAATGGCTCTGTGAATAAGTCGAGTGACGACTCCTGTCGGTCTTGTTGGTTGGATGATGGCATCATTGCCTTCAAGCTTTCCCATGCTGGAGGTGGTTGCCTTCTGGTGGGGAGCAATGGACTTGACAAACCCGTGAGAATGTGTTGTTGGTGCTTTGTGCGTCGTTTTTTGTCATGAGAACAAGGGGAGTTTGCATTGTATTGGCTTAATGTTGATCACATCACATTTTACTGGAGCTTCTTCTGAATGATTTGCTACCTGTGATCACCCAATGGACAGCAGACTTTAACATCGAAATTCAGCGAATTTGGCTGCACAGTTTTGATGGGGGATCTTTGAGACAGTGACGAGGTCCCATTGCACTAGTTTCCTGTTCCCGTTGTAGTGTTAACTATGTGAGGCTGCAGGAGCTAAACACATTGCTTCAGCTTGGATAAGATCTATGTCATTTAATATGATAATATGTCATACAATATGATAATATGTCATACAATAATTGTGTCTTACACCATATCCCTCTACAGCCTGCGTACCAACTCGAAAACAACACTGACTCACGGCACTCACAGACAGGTTGTGGGCGTCCTTGCTGGAACACTGCAGGGGGGACATCCTGCCATGGGAGCCATGAACCTCCCGCTTCTCAACACCCTTGTGTCTCTTGAATGCCCAAGCGAGTCTTCCGCTAGCGTGCCCCGTTACAAACCATAGGGTACTTCTGCACGAACCTCACGTGATGAACAACCTGTCAATAGATTAGCATCAGGGACTCATCAACGACAAGAAGGGCCCCTGGTTACGCTGAGATCGTTTTTCAACACTGGTGTTCGAAAGACAAAAAGCAGGGCTATTGCAGCTTGCAGGCGATTATTGGTACTCTCATAGGGACTCGTTCACCGAACTGGATGGTGTTTGTGAAATGGATCCCACTGGCATCTTCAAACCGATAGGCGGCCACGCAGTGGGTGAGGGCGCTGCCATGTTGCACCATGGTATGGGGCCATCGCTGACGCATTGCGTAGGACCAAGCTTGCCCTGGGGCACGCAACGAGTCGTCAGTCGATGTGGCAAGCATGCGCCATGCATGGAACATATCCCAGCAGCATAGAACCCGATATTCATGTATAAGTCCAACTTTTCCTCCTCTGCCAACACGCTTTCCATACTGCGACATGCATCCATTTGGGTCTCCTGGTCTGCATTCCTTGATGCTAAGCCTCATTTCACAGCGATTGCAAGTTATCAGTCAGGAGGTGCCAGGCACAGAATTTTAGCAGCGCAAAATCAGGGGCCTCAAGCACCTTGTGCGCTGCCACCTAACACACTGCGCACGACACCAAGCTCAGTGCGCAAAAGCCAGAGTCCATCCAGACATTTCAAAATTTTGCACATGTCCCCCTGAATGCAAACTGATGTGAATGTTCCTCCATCACCGAAATTCGATCTATAGCGACTGCACTCTAAACACTGCCGCCAGCAAAACAGCAAGCCAGAACAACTGGTGAGCCGCCTTGCCCCCCAACCCCCCTTCCCCTGCAACACCACTTCATGCCCGCCCACTATCTCGACCAAACAAGGGACACTCTCTCAATAAGCTAAGGCTGCTCTCATCCCCACAAGCCGACGGTCGCAACACGAGACCGACCAAAAAAGTCGCTCCTGCTCCAGCACAACGTTCTCAAGCGCTGGCGTGCCGGTCGCCTACCGGACTCGATCCCAAGCTTCGCAAGGAGTGCGACAGCGCCAAGCGCCTCTGCGGCACACCCACGGCGCGCATCCCAATTGGCAGAACGCCCCTCCAGCCTCCGCACACGCCAGCAGCTGTGGCGCGAAGGGAGTCCGGAGTCAGTTTCAAACACACGGGCAGGAAGACCTGCTGCGCGCGTTCCCGGCTGGCGCATCCG